TAATGATTGTCAGTGAAAATCACTCTGAAAAAATGTGCTGCCTTTCCCAGCAGGAAGGATGAGGATGAATAGAAGTGGAAGGAGCAGCCACCAGTTCCTGGTTGTGTGGCTCATGTGGTTTGTGGTACAGGTGCAGTGTGCAGGCTGGGGACCAGCCGTGTTCCCTGGGAGCCCTGTGCCCACTGTAGCTGCCCTACCAGTTCCAGAGAATGGAAGATGGGGCAGGAACATCTTGGCAGTGTCATCCTTCCTGCCTGGATCACGCAGTGCTTTGCCACCGTAGCATGAGCTGTCATATCTTTGTCTTGTGTGGGATCTGCAGCATCTTGTGGGGCGTGCGTTAGAATGAGCTCTGCAGTGGCTCCTGCTGCATTCCAAGTGCTGTTGGGCATGGTGGGGACCAGGACAGGTCCTTCTCTGTCTGCTTGGCCTGCCAGGCCTTTCCCTAAAGCAGTGGACAATGACCAGTTGACCTGGCAGTTGACCTGAGCCAGGTGGATATGCTGGAGATGTCTTCTCTGCTGTGTTTGGGTTAGGCACAAGAAGCAATGCCACCAGAATGCAGTGGGGAGAGGTGCAGTGAGGACCTCCCTGCGTGGGGATGCTGTGCCTGCACCCAGGGCACAGTGCACTTGAGGATGGGGTCGGGGGTCTGCCTTGGGACACCTTTGCCCCGTGCCCTCCAGGAACAGTCCCTGGTGTTCCTGCTGGGAGAGCAGGGTCAGTGCCGCAGGGTGTGGGAACGGCCAGCCAGGAAGCTCTTGGGCGTGTGTCTTTCCTGTGAGAGCCTCCCCCAACTGAGTCATCTTAGACGATGCTGTGCTGTCCTCACTGTGCTCCCTCCTCCTGTGCCATGGGTGCCACTGTGGGCTCCCTGCCTGCCCCAGCCATGCCCCGTGGGCTGCAGACCAGACCATTCCTGGAAGGCCAATGCTTTGTTTGTTTTGGCTTTGGCATCTGCTGAAAGCCAAGCTGCCAGATGTGTAAAGCTGGGGGACTATTGCACCTGACAGAATGAACTGAGTGTGGTTAAACCCAGCAATCTCCTGAGGGGGCCCCCAGCACGCTTTATCTCCAGGGTGAGAAACTAATTTATAAAGTGAAGGATCTCCTCAGGTGTCCTCTGGAAACCTCTCTGTAGAATGGAGCATCTTGTCACAGCAGAAGGTGGTGTCAAGTAGAGTTCTTTTAGAGCAAGATGGGGTGAAGAGTCCCAGCTCTGCCCTGGGATCTCAGTGTCTGAACTGTGAAAGCTCTCGGAGAACTGTGATCTGTCACCTTCCCTAGTGGGCAGCATAAAAGCTGTTTGTCTGCAAGAACCCACTGATAATCTGGTTCTTTGCTTTAATTTTCTTTTGATTTTCTTTCTTTTTTTGGTCTTACAATTGGCATAAATAATAGAGCGAGGCCTTAGTGCTGCAGCAGGGATCTGGGTGTGCATTGCCATGGCAGATAAGCATGTGGAAAACACTCACATGCTCAAGCAGGACGTGTGTCCTTCAGGGCTGCTCCCCGAAGGACTACTCTGCACTGAGAGATGCCCTGGGGTGGTGGCTTTGCATGTCAAGCTTTTGCTTTGCTCTGAATTATTTCAAATCTAGCCAAGCTTGTGCTGTGTCTGAGCAGCTGATGCCTCTGTGGCTGGGCACGGGGATTGGCAGGCAGTGAGCAGCTCCCTCTGCAACATGAGCAAAGCATGGACATGCCCGACCTTTGACCAAACTGGGGGGGCTTGGGGCACCCCTGGGAGCTGCCCTGCCAGGGAGTGTGGACCCCTCCTGCTCTGGGGGCAGCTGTGTGTCCTGTGGCTGCTGCTGAGAGCCCTCAAGGCCTGTGAAGTCCAGTGCTTGGATTAGGTAATGTCAGAGATGCAGTTTCCTGGGCAACCTTAATTCCACCCCACGTGTGAGGGTATTAGGATGTGTCTGGTAATTGCTCGATCCCCACCATTTGCTCCATCCCTGGCACTGGCTGGAGCCTCCAGTTCCTCAGCCTCAGTGCTTGAGTGTGCTTGCTCGTGCATCCTGTGGTTGTGGTGCTCCTGGAGACAGGAGTTGCCTTGCCTCCTTTTCCCTCCTTGGCTCTCTGCTGTAACATACGACCATTTGAAAGACAAATGGGTTTATGTTCTCAGCACCCTGTGGTTGGGAGACCTCATCTCTACAAGTAAAGGAGTGAAGTGCATGTGGCAAACCCCCTAAAGCTCAAGGAGCTTGCAGATACAAACCTCCAATCTGAGCCATTTGCTCTGGGTGCAAGCTAAGCCCAACAAACCCTGTCCTCTGCCAGCAGAGTCTCTTATTGCTGCTGAGTGCCTCTGCACCTTGCTGCGATCTAAATACCCAGTTTTAGGTGTCTCTGCAGAGGTCCATTAAGATTCTCCACTATCCTCTGCTTTCTAGACCTGGAGGTATCCGATTGGGGGCCATCCTGTGTCCCTGCCTGGGAAGCCAGACCCAAGCACTGATGAAATAAGGTTGGGTTTGATGATCTTGGAGGTCTTTTCCAGCCGTAATGATTCTATGACAGAGTGACTACCACATGCAGGGAAGCCTCTTGGCCCTGTCTTGTCTGTGTGTATGGAGCAAGACAGGGTCCAGGACTGGCACCAGCAACAAGTCAGATCTGTATGCAAAATGCATCTAGGAAATGGGGTTTGTGGCAGGTTTGAATGTGGGCAGGTTGGGCTCGAGACTGGAAGAGTGGACAGCCAACCCCTTGCTGAGCTCAGGAGGGTCAGCAAACCACGTTTCACAGCCCCTGAGCATGTCTGGAGCCATGACAGCTCTGCAAAGGATGAGCATCAGTCGTGGCACTGCCTGCCCTGCACTACCTGTGCATTAGTGTGTGTCAGGATGCTGCCAGTGTGCCCGTGCATCACTCAGCATGAGTGTGTGAAGATGCTGTCACCAGCACAGGGCTGTGCTCTGCAGGTGTCATTGTGGCACATTGAGAGCCCCTTCACAGGCTTTCAAGGCATGGGAGCAGCCCATGGGATCTCTCAACTGTTTGGAATGGTGGGTGCTGATCTGCCCTTGGGATGTCAAACCCATGCCCTGAGCAGCCTGGTCTGGTGGGAGATGTCCCTGTCCATGGCAGGGGAGGTTAGGACTAGACGATCTGTAAGGTCCATTCCAACCCCTTGGCATTCTATGATTCTCTCTCTCAGGCAGCAGGGGAGCAGGTTCCAGTGACCAAGCAGCTGGAAAAGTCACCAGCCGCTTGGATTTCCCTGAGGAGTTTTGTCCCAGCAGTAGGAAACAAAATGCTGCAGCCCCCTGGGCTCGGCCTTGCCCCTTGATGTCCCTGGTGCCTGGCAGGGTCTGAGCGATGCCACATCATCCCTTGGATGATGAAGGTGAGGGCAGATTCCTGTCTCCCGCTGCAAAACCAGAGGCTGGCAGCTCCTGCAGCCCTGTGCCAGCTCGCTGGCATTGGGCCCTGCCTCGAGTGGAGCTGGTACCCTGGGCAGCCTCCTGTCCTGCTGCTGCCCTGCCGAGGGGTGAGAGCATCCGCTTGCTCCCATGTTTGAATCCTCGCTGTGCTTGGCCGGGGTGACTGTGAGCCCTGTGGCTGATGGGCTGTGCTCTGGGGATGATCTGCTGTTTGCTTGTGCCCTGGTGTGGAGGGAGCAGGCTTGGAGAGCTGCCCTGGGTCCCCACTGCATCAGCCACCCAAGGATCCAGCACATTTTGGGAGGAGGTGGTGATCTCGGATGTGGAGAACTGTGTTCCTCCTGCAGCTCAGAGGCTCGGGGCTGCACGGAGGTGTTTACAGCTCCAGTTCCTGTTCCTTTTTCCTGCTGGGTTTTGCTGCTCCAAGCTATTGTCGGGTGTTTTGCACAGGAAGGAGAGAGAAGTGCTTTGTTTTAAGCTGATTATGGGAGCTGCAGAGGAATGCATGAGTGGCCCTGGTCTCTGAGGCTGGGACAGTGTGACAGAGCCTGGGTCTGGGTGGGATTAGGCAGCTGCCACACCGTGCTTGAGACATTTGGTCCTTGCTGTGCACTTCTGCATAGCCTCTGTTGTAGTGGCAAACCCTGCTCCAAGCTGGGGCTTTGTGTCTTGGCGGATGAGCAGATCCTGGCAAAGGTGCTTGGCTGCACTTGGATGCTGCTGGAAATATTGCCTGGCCCCATTTTGTGAGAAAGCTTTGGGGCTGGAGGTAGGAGGTACAGCTCCAGGTTTGCTGGAGCATCGAGGGATGGGGTGCTCCATCCTGGAAGCTGCTGAGGTGCCAGAGCAGGCATGTGGCTCCAGTGCTGGAGGAGATCGAGCTCTGGGACGTGCCCCATGTCCTACTGCAGAATCGTCTCATTTTCACTAGTAAGGGCAAACCTTGGGAAATTTGTGCTGGCCCTGTGACATGGCACTTGAGAGGCTCCTGGTCCTGCTTCCTAGAGAAAAGCCCTGTCTTGTGTTACTTGGGATGCATGTGGGGATTCTGCAGGGGCCTAGGAAGGAGTGGAGAGGAAGCCACTGGCTGTTCTTAGCCCTTTTATTAGAAAACCTCTTCAACTGAGCCCACAAGAGATCTGGAAAACAACCAGTGAGTTCCCAGTCGTGCCAGTGCCAGCTGACACCCTTGTTCTGGGATCTGCAGCCCTTGTCCACCTCGGGTGAGGAAATGTGGCTGCACACAGGGAGAGCATCTGTGTGCCACGGGGGTTATGGCACTGCAGCAGGGCCCGGCCGAGGCATCTGTGGGTGCTGGCAGTGCTGAGCCCAGTGCTGAGGAGGGGGCTGGGCCACCTTCTGCTCCGCTTGGCTCCAGCCCAGCGTTTGGGACAAAGGCTGGAGCGTTTCCACGGTGCCTGGAGAGCAGTCAGCTGCCAGCACCTGCTCTGCGGGGCTGCCACGATGTGGGTTTGGGCTCCTGGCAGTCTCTTTGGCTGCTGCTAGAAAAGCTTGTAGTGAGGTTTCAAGAGGCTTCAGCTGATCCCTGCAAAAAGCAGGGAGTACCCTAACCCTTCTCCTACCCTCCCCCTCTTCCAGCTGGCTGTCCTGGAGGACTACGCAGATCCCTTCGACGCGGCGCAGGTGGCAGGTAGCCAGGCAGGGCTGGAGAAGGTGGCAGAGAACGATGGATATATGGAGCCCTATGAAGCCCAGAAGATGATGGCTGGTAAGGTGGAAGGCTCCATGCAAAGGCTGCACTCTGTTCCTTGCAGAGTGGGACAGCACCAGGTCCCCCAGATAAGGCAAACCTGAGTGATATGCATGGTAGGGACAGCCACTTTGCAGGCAGATATTCCCAGCTCTACCCATGTACTCTGGGTTTGCCAGAGCACTCAAAGGCTGCCTGAGCAATAGAGGCACCTCGATATCTCTCCCTGTGATGCTGCCCCTGGGGACCTCACTTGCCAGGCTGAGCCAGAAGAGACTTGACGTTCCCTGCGTCTGGATTGAAACGAAGATGGATGTGGGAGCTATTTAATTCTGTTAGGGATGGGCCAGAGCGTGCTGGGTGTGCTGCAGCAGCAGGTCCCCAGTGGGATTGTTTAAGGCTGGAAAGCTGTCCAGGTGGGAACATGTGCTCCTGAAGACATTGCTCGGGGTCTCTGTGCTGGCTTGTACATTCCAGGCTCTGGCTCTGCTTGGCAGCTCTGGTTTTCCTGGAGCGAATGGTTTCTGAAAAGTTCATGTGGGTTTTTGGGCTAGACCATTGTATTTCTTGGAAAAATCTGCAAGGGGTGAAGAGGCTGCTTGTACGTGGGGGAGAGACTTTGTTTTGCTCGAGAGTAGGGTGTTTGATTAAACCAGCCACGCTGGGTGTCCAGGGGAGAAACTCAGCCCTGCTGCTCGCAAGGAATCAGGCTCTGGGATGCTCTGTCCCCACGGACCCTGCTTTGCAGGGCTGCCCAGGAATGAGGATGTTGTCCTGTGGGGACCTTGATGCTGTGAACTGCTGAGGCCCTGGCTGCCCAGCAGCTCCCCCACCTTCTGCTGAAGGTTTGGGGGTTCTCCTCCATCACTGATGCTCCCTATGCATCCTCAGGTGAAACCGAGCCCTGTCATCTATCAGGGCTTCGGGGGCTGCGGCCAAGCTGTGTTGGACAGAAAACTCATGGTTTTGTCCCTCTTCTCCTGCTAGAGATCCGCCAGAAGGGCTTACGAGAGGCTCCGGCGCGGCCACTGCACCTCTACGACACTCCCTACGAGCCTGTGCTCGGGGGACCAGACATGGACTGTGAGCGCTCAGCTTGCCCCAGGCCCAGGGAGTCGCGGCTCCCTGAGGACGACGAGCGGCCACCGGAGGAGTACGACCAGCCCTGGGAGTGGAAGAAGGAAAGGATCTCCAAAGCCTTTGCAGGTGAGGGATGGGAGCAGCTTTTTTGGAGGTTCCTTTGTCTTTTCAAGGCCAGTGGTGTTGGCCTCGACATTTCCATGGCTCAGGGAGCAGTTGTGCTCTTGTAGAACCTGTTTCTCTGAGCAGGGGAACTATCTGGGCAGACTTATGGGTAGACCTGCCTTGCAGCCTGTCCACTGCCCATCTCCCATTGTTCCATCTCTGCTGTGACTGATCACAGCCTCTGGTGCAAATTAACCCCCCCAACCTCAAATTGCAGGGGAGAGGCTCAACTCTAGGCTCGAGCAGGTTCCTCCTTCTGCAGGGCAGGAGGATCCCCAAGGAGCCTTCGGCCAGGCGGTGGTCCAGCCCTCCTGACCTATTTATCCGAGCTGCAGGATCGATTGTGTTTGCGTTTGGTAATGAGGAAATCCATGCTGTGCATTAGCTCCGGCTCCTCCGCCGGTGCTGGCTAATTGCCACACTCTTATCTAGGATGCATTTTAATTGCAGCATTGTGTCTGTGCTGTAGCTGCGCAGAGGGCGCTCGGGCCAGCTGCTCTCAGAGCTGTGTGGGGAGAGATGTGGAGATTTGGGCCTGGGGAGTGGTTCACCTTTTGGGTTTGGGTACTGTGAGCTGGAGAGGTGTGTGCTGGGCTCGATGCCACAGTATCTACTTGTGCCTGGGGTGGCACTTGTGTCGCTGGGACTTAGAGCACACTGTGCTGAGGGTTTGACTTCTCGGGCTCTGTCATGGAACGTGCGGCACTGTTGGGCTGGGTTTGTGTCGAGGTTCTGTGCTCCAGATCTGGGTGGATGAGGAGCCTTGCTCGATTTGTCTGGGTGGAGGTGGCATGTCCACAGGTTGGGCTCGTGTGTGGTTGCCCATGGACACTGGTCAGGGCACTTCAGGCTTGCTCTGAGTCCAGAGGGAGTCAGGTTGCCATGCCCTGGGCCACGTTGGAACCTGCTGCCTGTTTTTTCTCTGAAGCTAGAGCAGGTCCTGCTGTGCCTCACAAGGTGTTTCTCCTCTCCTATGATACCAGAATCTCTCAGCTGATCCATTGCCCCTCTGAGGGGCCCACGGGACCCCTGCTGATGGACAGCTGGTACCAGCATGAGGCTGCAACCCACTGGTGCCTGGCAAGGGAATGTCAACCCCATGGGTGGCTAGGAAGCTCCTAGGGCAAGACAGATGCACGGACAGGACAGATGGCAATGGGATGCTTGGCCAAGGTCCCCCAAATGGACATGTATGCGAGATGGGATGATCACAGGCTGCCCCACACTCCAAAGAGGATTGGCTGGCAAAGCTGATGGAGGAGCAGGGTCTCTCCACCAGGAATGTACCCCACCTTAGGTCTGCCCCTGCTGGGAGTTGTGCAAGGGATGAGATGGCCAAATGGCCCTAGGACTTCTGGGATTGTAGTTCTCAGGTCTTTCCCCCCCACAACTGCTTTCCTTCTCTGTGGGCCTTTGGTGTTGCTGATGGTGTTTTTTTCTAAGCCCTTTCTTTCTCTCTTTCTCTTCCTCTCTCTTTCCCACCCCCACCCCTCCCCTCCAGTTGAAATCAAGGTCATTAAAGACCTGCCCTGGCCCCCGCCGGTGGGACAGCTGGACAGCGGTGAAACGCCCCCGGAGGGGGAGGCTGGTGCTCCCCTCCCTCTGCAGCATGGCCAGCACAGCTACGAAGACGCCAATGGTGGGTCTTGTGTGACAGGGGTGTCTGGGGGGGCTGCTCGCATTGACCCTGCCCCAGGGCATGCCCAGGGCACTGCCAGACCCCCACCCTTCCCCTCTGCCCTCCCCCAGCTCCTCCTGCCCCTGCAGTCATCCTCTGCCCATCACCCTGGGGATTATTCGGTGGCAGAGTTATTACCATCTCTTTTGTTCTCTCCTCCTTGCCTCCAAATTCCCAGTGTTTGGTGGCTGCTTTTACGGCTTCTCAACAACAGCTCTGAGCATTTGGCTGATGTTTTCTTGCTACTCGTAATGCCCAGGTCCCTTACAGGTATGCTGGCAGCTAATTCAGATCCCTGTGCTGAAGCTGGGGCTGTTTTCCCCCCTCTTCATCATTTAGCACTGCTCCGTTTCCTCTGCTGTTTTATTACCTTGCTGTTCAGTGGCAGGAGGGCCCTCTGGATTCTCCAGTCTCGCTTTTGCTATCCTGAGCAGCCAAATCTCCCAGGTACACTTTGTCATCTCAGGTTTGCCTTGTTGTGAAGCCTTTTTTCGTGCATGCTGAAGAGCCCCTGGGTAAATCCCCCTTGGATGCTGCTGGCAGACTCACTTAGGAAAGCCAAATATTGCTGCTTCTCTTTTAACCCTTGATTAATATTTTAAGGACCTTCCTCTTATGCTGTGGTGGATTAGGATTTTGCCAAGAGCGTTGTGGGGGGCGTGGGGGTTTGTTGGGTGCCTCGACTGGGTTGTTAGCAGTGGGGAGCTGGGATGGAGCTGTGAGATGTGCCTGCCCACGCGTGGCTAACGCTGTCCTGGGAGGCACTGCCATGTGCAGGTGTCTGATTTCCTTATCTGCAGTTACCCAGACCTCTGCAGAGCTCCGTGGAATAAAACTAGCATGGCCTTTGCAGCCTCCCAGGTGGGTCTGAGCACGAGGCTGCAGGTAACAGCTGATTTTGCAGGATCAAGGGCACTCCAGAGTAAAGCAGATGCTCAGATGGGCCTTGCTGGGTATTTCCCAAATCCACGGGGGTGCTACAGGCTGCAATCAGTCCTGAAGAAGAAAGGTCTTGGCAGGGGAGAACTTCCTGATCCTTTTCCTGGAATGATTGCAGGTGTCAAGAAAAATAAATCTCTTTGCTCTGCAGCCTCTTCTCTTCCCCCATCATTTATTATCCCCGCAGTGGCACCGACATGCATCCTGCTCCTGATGAACACATCAGTTTGTCATTTCTCCTGGTCTTAGCAACACAGAGTCCTTTTTTTTTCTCGTGACTTGCTTTGTTGTGTGAAGTTTATCTTGCCAGAGTTTGGTCTCATTTTCTACTTCCCCTGTCTGGGGGTGACCTGAACTTCTTTGAAGGCTGTCTCGTTCTTCCTAAGGGCTTGTTTTTAATATCCTGTTTAATCATGCACATGCTTCTGCCTCCCTCTGACAGGTGCAATGCATTTCTTCCGAGCCTCTAACGTGATGATTTTGTGCCGCCAGCGAGCACTTGGGCTGTGTGATTGTCTGGCTTTTTAATGATCCCCCCCATTTTTTAAGGTGACGAGTTGAAATTGAAGCCTGGGTGTGATGTACAAGGGTGAGCGTGGACGGTGAAAGGCCAGAGCACTGCAGAGGCAGAGCTTGTCAGGCCTTAATGCCAGGCACCTCCTCCTTGAGCTGCTGCTCAGGGGGATTTAAGCCGTGCTAAGCTGCAGAGGATTTTGGCTGGGTTTGCTTTTGGCTGCATTCCTCGCAGTGCTGAGGGGGCTGGAGTCCTGCTTGCCTGTGTAGGGCTTGAACAAGGTGTCCCTCAAGCAGCTGCCTTAGAAGATGCTCTACTAGAGAGGAAAACATAAAATCATGGAATTTAATGGTTGGAATGGACCTTACAGATCATCTAGTCCCAACCCCTGCCCTGGGCAGGGACACCTCCTCACTAGATCAGGTTGCTCAAGGCTCATCCAGCCTGGATTGAACACCACCAGGGTCGGGGCAGCCACCACGTCCCTGGGCAACCTGTTCCAATGTCTCACCAGAGTGAAAAACATCCCTCTTTGGGTATTTTATTGCCAGCAGGGAGCATGGGGAGGGGGGAAGCTGCCCAGTCTGGGACATCCCAACTATCCTGAGAGTTGTGTCTCGTGGGCTCAGCCACCTCCGAGGCGCCTGTGCCGCTGTGCCATCAGCCCCACGCCGTGGCGGCTCTGCCCGATCGATAAGTAATTTGTGCGAGGGGCTGGCAATGCAGGGCAGCCGCCGTAATGAACTCTCAGGAGGAGGGAGAAACAATATTGTTAATGCTGAAATCATCCTGCGTGGAAATAACAGGCGTCGGGAGGCTGAGTCTCTGGGGCACGGCGCGGTCAATGCCCCCTGCACGAGGCACAAGGGGCTGGTGCTGGGCAGGTGGCTGCCTCAGGGAGGTACCTGCCATCAAAACATCCCCTTCCCACCTCGGGGAATGGTGTTTTCACCCCAGGTTTGTTTGTGCCAGCAGAAATGTGTCTGTCATTCCAAGCACACTGGTCCCTTGAGCTCCCTTGGAGAGCTTCTCCTCGCTGTGTCTCATGCTGCGGCCACCAAATCTCTGGTTGCGTTAGCAAAGCCTCCTGAGGTTTTGAAACCTCCCTGGAAAACACTTCCAGGGGCTCGGGTGCTGCAGGGACCCCAGGCCTGGTGTGGTGGGGGCACTGCCACGTGCAGCATCCCAAGAGCTGCTCTGCCCTTGCTTAGAGCAGGGTATGTAAGGCAGCACTGGCTCTTCCTGCGGGGGAAGGCTGAGACCCCCAGCCCATCTGCCTGTCCCTGCCACCAGCTCTGACACGTGTGTCTTTTGCAGGTCCACCCGAGGCACTGGGGTATGGCCGCACCTCACCCTGCAGGGAGGAGAAGGCCAGGGCTGCCCCTCGGCACGGCTCCACCAGCCTCAAGGGCACCAAGACACTCATCGCCGAGCCTGGCCCCTTCGTCGGGGCGGGGAGAGGATTGACCCTGCCCTGCCCCTGGAGAGTCAGTGGTGAGTCCTGCCTGACCCTTCCACCTGCACCAGGATCCCTGAGGGCACACCACGAGGAGCCCTGGGGCACACCTGCCTCTTTCTTCCTTTCGCTCCTTGGCAAAAGTTGTCTGCTTCTCCCTGCCCCTTGTCCCCCAACCCCGGCAGTACCATCCCTCTCCCTGGACGTGGGTGCTGTCCCAGGGGAGGTGCTGGCATCACAGAGCCCTCCCTGGGGTGTGTGTGCCCCGTGCACAGCCAGTCCCTCTCCCCTGCAGCTGGTACCACGGGGCCATCAGCCGGACGGACGCGGAGACGCTGCTGAGGCTGTGCAAGGAGGCCAGTTACCTGGTGCGCAACAGCGAGACCAGCAAGAACGACTTCTCCCTCTCCCTTAAGTGAGTGAGCCCAGACAGGGCAGGGGGTGATGGACCCACGGCAGAGGTGATGGTGCTGGGGGTGGTGGACCCACGGCAGAGGTGATGGTGCTGGGGGTGGTGGACCCACGGCAGAGGTGATGGTGCTGGGGGTGGTGGACCCACGGCAGAGGTGATGGTGCTGGGGGTGGTGGACCCACAGCAGAGGTGATGGTGCTGGGGGTGATGGACCCACGGCAGAGGTGATGGTGCTGGGGGTGGTGGACCCACGGCAGAGGTGATGGTGCTGGGGGTGGTGGACCCACGGCAGAGGTGATGGTGCTGGGGGTGGTGGACCCACGGCAGAGGTGATGGTGCTGGGGGTGGTGGACCCACGGCAGAGGTGATGGTGCTGGGGGTGGTGGACCCACGGCAGAGGTGATGGTGCTGGGGGTGGTGGACCCACGGCAGAGGTGATGGTGCTGGGGGTGGTGGACCCACAGCAGAGGTGATGGTGCTGGGGGTGAAGGACCCAAGGCAGAGGGGAAGGCG